GCCAAGGACAAAAGACATTATTACTTGAAAACTATGACTCGTGATACAACGGAGTTCATCCAGAAAGTTCATCAACTCGTTCTTCAAGCTGCAACGCGTCTTTGCTTACATTTACAAGTTTGTAAATCGCATGTAAGGAGCTGAGGTAACTGTAAGCAACGTGCATCATGGCACACATATGTTTCTGTGGTCAGTGCAAATAGATACTCCTGGCGATGACTACAAGGCACTGATGGAAGGAAGGCCCGCCAAACGGTCTAGCTCAATGGCCTCTCTCGCGCCATTCTTTAACGACTTCGGCTTACTCCGAGCGGTGGACCGCTGAAAAACTCGTTGGACTTCTCGCCAGCATCCTGTGAACAAAGTAATCATAGTCCACTTTCATAAACGGAACTTACTTGCTGGAACTCGCGTCGTATTGGCTTCGATTCGGCTCCAATACTGGCCCATTGGCGGTCGTAAAACAGTCTCTAGTATTGTTGCCAAATGCATAATCTGTTTTCGTGCGAAGCCACGATTGGCAGAGCACATAATGGCAGATCTACCAGCTGATCGTTCTTCTACAAGAGCGAAGTCCGCAACAGGCCTCCCGTGAAATGGTACATTAGCCTGTTTATATGCTTCGCTACAAAGGCAGTACACTTAGAGCTTGTAAAGGATTTGTTTACAATATCGTTTCTAAACGTCCTTAAACGGTTCATCCTGACTCGCACTTAAACTTTGTAGGCGCTAAGAATGAGCTGGCAGATCTGAGCCGCCTGTTCCTGAGTGACGGGCATGTCAAAGCTGTTCACGAGTTTTGCCTATCCGACTCAATTGAATGGTCGTTCATCCCTCCTCGCTTTCCATACTTTGCCGGGCTATGGGAAGCCGCTGTGAAGACTGCGAAGCACAATTTTGATCGCTCTGTCGGCCGTTCTATCTTGGACTTCGATTCGCTGCGCACGCTCGTCTGCCACATCACGGCAATTATTAATTCTCGTCCATTACTTCCACTTTCAGAGCATTCCGATGATCTTAACGTCTTGACACCCGCATACATCCTGGGTACAGCACCATCTTCGTCATACATTGAGCCTGATCTAGCGGAACTTAATTTCGTTGGCGCGAAAAATATTTAACGCTTCTTCAACCGCGCTCCAAATGGCGCACTCCTCAGCCACGATTCTCCATCAACGATGTCGTCCTTGTTAGGGATGAGAACCTACCGCCGCTGAAGTGGCCATTAGATAGAGTTCTAGAGCTGATCTAGCGATCTGATGGGGTATCTAGAGTTTGCAGTGCTTCAGACTGCGAATGGAGTCATACGCAGAGCCGTACGAAGGCTCTGTTTGCTGCCAAAACAGGATGATGTTGAAAGCCCCTTGCCTTCCAACGGGGGGAGGATGTTTGGTCAAGTGATCGGTAGAGATAACAGCGACAGCTGCGTGCAGTAACAGCAGAAGACAATAATCATAATTACAGCTTAAGAGCAAATGATGTTTGCTCCTTGTAAGTTGCTGCCTACTCTCTTCAACGGCCCTTTGCCTGCTGCATTGACACCCGCAACCCATCGTTCTGAGCGGAGCTCAATTTCGTTCGTTTTGCATATAGTTTATTTTTTCGTTTGATCGCAAGCAAGACACAAGTATTGCGAGTTGACTGTCGAGCAATATTATAAATTATAATAAGTGCGGTAAAATAATTTGAAACAAAATATAAAACTTCGAATTTCGTTGCACACAAAGCAGTGCTAATTAATTAGTTGCAAAAAGGCTTGTAACTACACAATAGCATATAGAAAACTGTCGCAATAACCATGCAGTAAGAATGCAAAGCGGACGAGCATTAATGTATACAGAAATTCTTAAAGCTGCTGCCCCATTCAATTGCGCAGTTGCATATAATATTGGTTATTTCTTAACCGATCTTTATGAAATTTTCTACAATATATTTTATTGTACCATAGAATACTTGTGTATTCTGAAAAGGTCAATTGCATTTAAATTGTGGCTTAAATTGGTTGGCAATAAAAGTTGGGTTATTAATATGATTTATAGCTCTGTGGTGGTAGCGGGGAGGTTGCGAAAGGTATAAAATGAAAGATACTTGAGATATATATAATATTCTAGAAGCAACATATCATGTTTGGTGGCTCTAGCTCTTATTATTTACTTAATTTGCTAAAAAAACAGGATGTCGATATCGATTTTTATCGATTGCTTGGAAACGGAAACAAACTCGATATGCGGAGGCACTAGGAGCACCTACATCTAAAATTTTAAGTCTCTAGCTCTTATAAGATCTGATTTCCTTGCGTTCATACATACGGACATAGCTAGATCGACTCGGCTATTGGTGCTGATCAAGAATATATATACTTTATGGGGTCGGAGATGCTTCCTTCTGCCTGTTACATACATTTGGATTTTGCACAAATACAATATACCCTTATACCCATTTTTAATGGGTTCAGAGTATAAAAGCCTGAAGAAACTGTCGAGCGTGTGCGCCATAATTTTATTTTCATTCTTCCTGGAAGCAACATTATGACATTTTTGTACTTTATTTGGAGTAAGTTGACATCAACCAAGAGCATTCCGAAAACATCCGACGAAGCCCAGCAGCTGGAGGAACAGATTACACCGAAGGTTTAGTAAGGTTTAGGACGCAGATCTTGAAGGAGACAGGAGTTAACACCATACATTACCCTTGCCCCTCACAACAACCATAAGTGCCAACGGCACACATTGATCGCTGCCTATAAGCTCTGTTCAAGTCGCCACTTCTCTTCGCTACAACAACGACCGCTGCTCATGAACTCTCTTCAAGTGCCTCCTCATAAACCATTCTGCACGTCAAGCGTTTTGGGCGCAGCAGCAATGTTGTCACCCGACACTGCCACGTCAACATATTAAACGCAACGACGACGTTGCGCTAGCTAAGCACTGGCCGTTGCCGGGTGTTTCGCTATATCCGCTGCAATTATGCTGACATTCGAGCTGTGCATAAAAACATACAACTGAGAATCGACATCCACTTATTTCATTACCCAAGCAATTCTTAGGCTTCCACAGGAGAATGTTTCATCATTACTTGTTGAGGTAGTCCTTGAGACTGCCGTAATTTATATATGCGCATAAGACTCTCTCGCTCTCTTATACTGATAATACATATGCATATATGCAGCCGCTACGCTGCTGGCGTAACCGGCAGCGCAGCTACGCGGTCTTAGCATTAAGCACTTATGTATATAGGCTAAGTGTACTTATAGATATATTCAATAAAGCATTCTAAAAACCAAACTCAAACGGCGTAGACGTGCCAGATTTATTTACTCGTCCCTCGAGTGTACATGGCGACCGTGACAGGACTTCCGGAGGACCTTGGAAAATCAACAACTATAACAACATAGGCGGCAGCAACAACAAATGCGCCAACGGTAGCAACTTGGATCTGAACAATCGAGGGTGCAGCGGCGACCAAAAGAATTCTGAGTGAGTAATGTAATGTGAAGGGAAATAAACGCGGTGGAGTAAAAAAGAAATTAAAACAAAGAGTAGCGCATCTGAGATGGTTACTAAAATTCCAGCACTCGCATGGTCGATGGCTCAAAAGTTACAAGCTGAGCTCGACTTTTTGATTGAAATCAAAAACAATAAAATTTCCAACACACCTACTCGCTCAAGAGATATAAATAACACATATAAACAAAATACTAATCGACCGCCTACCTCAAAGAAGCTGCCTAAACTAAAGAAGAGATGCCCCAACGAGTGGGAACAAGTGCGTATCCAGCACCGGTGCCACTGCAGACATCGAAGAAATAGCAGCCTGTGCAGCCAGCACCGGCCCCGTCTAGCGCACCAAGCTAGACCTGGAGTAGTAAGCCGACAGCGCTACTGAGAGCGCCCACCAAACAACATAAGTTTTTTTAAATGCACTGCGATGCATAACACTCAAAATTAATATAAATCTCGTAAAATTAAGCTCAAACATTTCTACCCGATTGTAGTGCGGCCCGTAAAGCCACGCAAATGCTAGGCAGGAAAACATGTAAACAATTTTTTTTACAATTCCAAACCATTTAATTTAAATGGCATATCAATATGAAAAAATCAGCTACTTAGTAAAAAAATTAATTAACAATATTAATTAACAAATATATATGTCTATAGAAACAAATGAGCGGAGCTCAATTTCGTTCGTTTTGCATATAGTTTATTTTTTCGTTTGATCGCAAGCAAGACACAAGTATTGCGAGTTGACTGTCGAGCAATATTATAAATTATAATAAGTGCGGTAAAATAATTTGAAACAAAATATAAAACTTCGAATTTCGTTGCACACAAAGCAGTGCTAATTAATTAGTTGCAAAAAGGCTTGTAACTACACAATAGCATATAGAAAACTGTCGCAATAACCATGCAGTAAGAATGCAAAGCGGACGAGCATTAATGTATACAGAAATTCTTAAAGCTGCTGCCCCATTCAATTGCGCAGTTGCATATAATATTGGTTATTTCTTAACCGATCTTTATGAAATTTTCTACAATATATTTTATTGTACCATAGAATACTTGTGTATTCTGAAAAGGTCAATTGCATTTAAATTGTGGCTTAAATTGGTTGGCAATAAAAGTTGGGTTATTAATATGATTTATAGCTCTGTGGTGGTAGCGGGGAGGTTGCGAAAGGTATAAAATGAAAGATACTTGAGATATATATAATATTCTAGAAGCAACATATCATGTTTGGTGGCTCTAGCTCTTATTATTTACTTAATTTGCTAAAAAAACAGGATGTCGATATCGATTTTTATCGATTGCTTGGAAACGGAAACAAACTCGATATGCGGAGGCACTAGGAGCACCTACATCTAAAATTTTAAGTCTCTAGCTCTTATAAGATCTGATTTCCTTGCGTTCATACATACGGACATAGCTAGATCGACTCGGCTATTGGTGCTGATCAAGAATATATATACTTTATGGGGTCGGAGATGCTTCCTTCTGCCTGTTACATACATTTGGATTTTGCACAAATACAATATACCCTTATACCCATTTTTAATGGGTTCAGAGTATAAAAGCCTGAAGAAACTGTCGAGCGTGTGCGCCATAATTTTATTTTCATTCTTCCTGGAAGCAACATTATGACATTTTTGTACTTTATTTGGAGTAAGTTGACATCAACCAAGAGCATTCCGAAAACATCCGACGAAGCCCAGCAGCTGGAGGAACAGATTACACCGAAGGTTTAGTAAGGTTTAGGACGCAGATCTTGAAGGAGACAGGAGTTAACACCATACATTACCCTTGCCCCTCACAACAACCATAAGTGCCAACGGCACACATTGATCGCTGCCTATAAGCTCTGTTCAAGTCGCCACTTCTCTTCGCTACAACAACGACCGCTGCTCATGAACTCTCTTCAAGTGCCTCCTCATAAACCATTCTGCACGTCAAGCGTTTTGGGCGCAGCAGCAATGTTGTCACCCGACACTGCCACGTCAACATATTAAACGCAACGACGACGTTGCGCTAGCTAAGCACTGGCCGTTGCCGGGTGTTTCGCTATATCCGCTGCAATTATGCTGACATTCGAGCTGTGCATAAAAACATACAACTGAGAATCGACATCCACTTATTTCATTACCCAAGCAATTCTTAGGCTTCCACAGGAGAATGTTTCATCATTACTTGTTGAGGTAGTCCTTGAGACTGCCGTAATTTATATATGCGCATAAGACTCTCTCGCTCTCTTATACTGATAATACATATGCATATATGCAGCCGCTACGCTGCTGGCGTAACCGGCAGCGCAGCTACGCGGTCTTAGCATTAAGCACTTATGTATATAGGCTAAGTGTACTTATAGATATATTCAATAAAGCATTCTAAAAACCAAACTCAAACGGCGTAGACGTGCCAGATTTATTTACTCGTCCCTCGAGTGTACATGGCGACCGTGACAGGACTTCCGGAGGACCTTGGAAAATCAACAACTATAACAACATAGGCGGCAGCAACAACAAATGCGCCAACGGTAGCAACTTGGATCTGAACAATCGAGGGTGCAGCGGCGACCAAAAGAATTCTGAGTGAGTAATGTAATGTGAAGGGAAATAAACGCGGTGGAGGAAAAAAGAAATTAAAACAAAGAGTAGCGCATCTGAGATGGTTACTAAAATTCCAGCACTCGCATGGTCGATGGCTCAAAAGTTACAAGCTGAGCTCGACTTTTTGATTGAAATCAAAAACAATAAAATTTCCAACACACCTACTCGCTCAAGAGATATAAATAACACATATAAACAAAATACTAATCGACCGCCTACCTCAAAGAAGCTGCCTAAACTAAAGAAGAGATGCCCCAACGAGTGGGAACAAGTGCGTATCCAGCACCGGTGCCACTGCAGACATCGAAGAAATAGCAGCCTGTGCAGCCAGCACCGGCCCCGTCTAGCGCACCAAGCTAGACCTGGAGTAGTAAGCCGACAGCGCTACTGAGAGCGCCCACCAAACAACATAAGTTTTTTTAAATGCACTGCGATGCATAACACTCAAAATTAATATAAATCTCGTAAAATTAAGCTCAAACATTTCTACCCGATTGTAGTGCGGCCCGTAAAGCCACGCAAATGCTAGGCAGGAAAACATGTAAACAATTTTTTTTACAATTCCAAACCATTTAATTTAAATGGCATATCAATATGAAAAAATCAGCTACTTAGTAAAAAAATTAATTAACAATATTAATTAACAAATATATATGTCTATAGAAACAAATGAAATAAGTAAATTGGTGGAAATTTTGCCAAAAAAAGGCATTGTAGACGTAAAAAGTCGAAGTCGAAGACCCCGATCCATAACTAATAACAATACTTATTGTTATAATTTTTATCATAATACTAGCACATCTATTATACAAATTGTATAAGTACCATAATAAATGTATTAAGAAGCGATATCAAAGCCAAGCAAACGACCTGGATAAAATTAAAAAAAAATTTCTTGTTATTAGCAACAAAGATTGTTTAAAAAAATATTATTGAAAAAAAAAAAAAATAAAATAGGAATACTTCCAATGTGACTATAAGTAGACACGCAACAACACTAGTTGCATGTTTTAACCAATCACGTTTAGTGATACACGACAATAAAGAAAAATTAAATAGCCAACATTGGTCGTACGTATCAAGATTTTTGCAAGATTGAAAACAAAAAATTAAATAAATATATATTCTCTAGACATAACAATAGCTTCGATTTTGAATACCCCAGCATTAGTTGTAGAAGATACAAACACAGACATAAGAGGCATTAAGCGATTCTGAAATCGCAAGATCTACACGATCTTGATCTTACGATACCAGCGGTAATCACATTACCCGAGCTATCTGAGTCTGAATTTTTGATTTTGTAATCTAAGACGAAACTTTAAATATGGCCATGACACAAGTAGAATTCCTTAAACTAGCCTCTTCACTCATACCTGAGTTTAGTGGAAAGTCTGACAATTTACATTTATGCTCTTAATTTAGTGGATTCACTAAAAGGAACACATGAATCTACAGCAGTAAGCCTAACAAGAACTAGGCTCAAAAGCCATGTTCGACACTTAATCAATACAGAACAAACAATTATTGCTAAAATAGACAAACTTAAGGGCGGCATAACATGCGAATCAGCAAAAGAATTATCCGCTAAATTGTTTAATCTGCTGCAAAAGCAAAAGACAGCAAGTCAATTTATTCAAGAAGTTGAACAGTTGAAAAGGCTTGTATCACAAGAATACGCTGAAGAACATAGCTTACAAGTTGCTTTAAAATCCATTAAACCACAACAGCACAATTGAGGAAGTGAGATCTGTACTGAAATCACGAAATTTCAATAACATGAGTGAGGTTACAACTGTCTTTGTCGATAGCTGCACAAACACAATAGGACATCCAAATACAGTCCTATGTGCTGCGCAACATCAGAGAAATAGACCCAACCGAGGCAATAACCGCGGAAACAACCGCGGAAATTTCCAAAATAATGGTAATAGATATTACAATAATTATAAAATTAATGACAACAATAGATAGAGAGGCCAATTTAGAGGAAACTCTAGAGGTCGTGGTAACTCTAACAGAGGCCACAACAATAACAATAGCAATAATATAAGAGTTGCCCACAATACTTCCGGAAACTCCCAACTGCCCTTTGGTACAAAACAATAGATAGTAAAAGAGTTCATTCGATTAATTTTAGTGTTAATATATTCGTTACGTGCACAAATGTAGCTACAGGCAAGAAACTAATATTTTTGATAAATACTGATGCAGATATATCTTTGTTAAAATATTAGAAAATGTTGTTAAAATTCCGACACCTTCAGTGATATAAACATTAAAAAGAAAGTTAATATTTAGGAATCAATCAAGCATTGATTTAAACCAAAGGGCTAATATCTTTATAAGTACAAACAACTAAATATATAATTCCTCACAACTTCCATATTGTCAATTCAACTCTTTCTGTACCGTGTGATGGAATTTTAGGCATAGATGTTGTTAAAAAATAAATTTGTCAATTAAATTTTACGCCTTCAAAAGGTCTGCTCTTAATAAGACCAGATAATCTTAATTGTCCTATCCCATAACATACAGATCCGGATACAGATGCAATAGTGTTACCAGCAAGTCCCGAAGTTGTCCGAAAAATCGAGCTAACTTAAAATGAAGTAGCATTCTAATTCTGTACCAGGAAATTCAACCTGGTATATATGCAGCAAACACAGTCGTAACGACTGCAAATGCATTTATCCGTTTACTAAATACAAATGATTAATATACACAAGTTAAATTATGAGCCGTTAGCAAATTATAAAATATCCGAAATAAACAATAAAACTAGATCCAAAGATGTTATGTGAAAGTTAACAACAAATTTTCCGACGCTTTTTAATAAACAATTTAAAGAAATTTGTTGTCAATATACAGATATATTCGGACTAGAAACCGAACGAATTACATATATAATTTTATACGCAGAATCTAAGATTAAAAGATGATGAACCTGTGTATATACAAAATTATAGAAATCCTCATAGTCAAAAATTCGAGATTCAAGCTCAGGTCGACAAATTAATTAAAGATAAAATAGTCGAACCTTCTGTTTCAGAATACAATAGCCCATTGTTACCAGTAGCAAAAAAATCAATAGATAAAAAAAATGGCGATTAGTAATTGACTATCCTCAAATTAATAGGTAGAGAAAAATATTTCTCTTGCCTTGACTTGATGTCAGGATTTTATCAGATTAAGCTAGACGAAAACTCTAGAGATATAACATCCTTTTCAACGAGCTATGGTTCTTATCGCTTCACTCGATTGCCATTTGGATTGAAAATAGCGCCAGATTCATTACAAAGAATGATGACTATTGCATTCTCTGCACTTGAACTGTTACAAGCATTCCTTTATATGGATGATTTGATAGTAATCGGTTGTTCCGAAAAACACATGCTTAACAATTTAATTAGTGTTTTCGACACGTGTAGAAAATACAACTTGAAGCTACTCCCTGAAAAATGTTCATTTTTTATGCATGAAGTCACATTCATGGGACATAAATGCCAGATGACAAAAAGTTTGATGTCATATTAAATTAGCCAGTCCCTCATGACACGGACAGCACTAGACGTTTTATTGAATTTTGTAATTACTACAGACAATTCGTCAAAAAATTTTCCAATTATTCTAGGCATATAACAAGATTTAATAAAAAGAATGTCACATTTAAAAGGACTGATGAATGTCAAAATATATTTGAATATCTTAAAGCTCAACTAGTAAAACCAACTCTTTGCAAGTAAGTAAGATTGTGGTGCAGTGTTAACACAAACCCATAATGGAATTCAACTTCCGGTAGCTTACGCATCGAAAACATTATCGAGAGGAGCAAGAGTTAACAGCTATTCATTGGGCAATCACGAGTTTTGGACCTTATATATACGGAACCCATTTCGATATAAAAACCGACCATAGACCACTAACATTTTTGTTTTCAATGATAAATCCCAGCTCTTAATTAACGCGTAT